CTCCCTTGGTCCCCACTGCCATGGGGGGACCACAGAGGGTGAACCACGAGTGGATCACGGTTGTTGGTGCCCTACATCGGGTGACAGAGCCCCCCGCCACCCCATACCGTGGTGGCACAGTGGGGGCACACCGCGTGTCCCTGTGCATGGGACACTACCCCCAGCGTGACAACCCCGGGGCAGGGAGGCGACGCTGGCCCCGCAGGGTGCTGGGGGGCAGGCAGGCACCCCCCGGGAGGGGGGCCGTGAGCCCCCCGAGGCGAGGCGAGGCGAGCAGGCCGCCTTCCCCCCCGCAGCGCGAGCGGGAGTGCGTGGGAAGGAGTTAGACAAAGCCTGAGCCCGGGAGCAGAAGCAGCGCTGCCGGGAGGGAGACGGGGACGTTCTCCCCTCCCCGTGCTCCCCCCGGGCGAGGGGTGTGCGGGAGCCCTCCTCGTCCCCTCGGTGGTGACAGCGGGGAGCCCCGGTGTCCCCGTCCCTCGGGGCCGGTGGCCGTGGGGTGCAGCCAGCGCCAAAGACCCCGCGGTGATGCCGGGGAGCGAAGCATCCTCCTGCAGCACGAGGTAGGGAGGGGAAGGGGCTCTGTGCCGCTGCCACCCCCACCCCACCCGGGGGACGGTGCCACGGGGGGGCTCGTGCCACGGACCCAGCGGCCAGGCCACGGTGCCAGCCATGTGCCCGCTGCACCGGGGCGCGTCGGGGTGGCACAGCCCTGGGGGTCCCGGGGCGGCTGTACCGGGCTGACCCCCACCCACACCCCGGGGTGCCGGGGGGGGGGCTGCAGGGTGGGGGTCCCGGGCTTGGGGTGCGCTGGGGGGGCAGCGGGGTGGCAGCGACAGATGCTGCCCGCGGTCCCCAACCCCGGTGCCGACGCCACCCCCGTTCGCCCCCCCAAAAACCCCGGTGCCCCCCCACCCCCGGCACCGCCCCCGCCGCCGCCGCCGCCCCACGCATGCTCGCGGCCGCCACCGCGCCGGAGCGGAGCGGAGCGGGACGGGACGGGACGGGACCGGGCGGCAGCCGCAGGTAACGGCGGCCCCGGGGCGCGCACGTGGCGGGGTCCCCCCCCCCCCTCCGGTAACCGGGGAGGGGATGGCGGAGAGATGGGGGGGGGGCGGCTTTGTTCGGGGCTCGGCCGGGCGCGTGCCCGTGCGCGTCCGCGTGCCCCCGTGCGTGTGCCCGAGCCGCCGGCTGTGCGCACACGCGTGTGCCCCAGGGATGGGTGCGCCCCCCCCCCCCGCCTCTCGACGAGGCACCGAGCACCCCCCCCCCGTGGGTGCCCGCAGCGCCCCTGGGTGCCCGCAGGGTGGGCTCGGCCCGGCCCCGAGGGGAGGTGCCGCTTCGGGGGGGCTCGGGGGCTGCGTGGGGAGGTGGGCGCCGGGGTGCCAGGGGCGCGGAGGGGGTGGTGGCAGCGTGGTCCCCGCTCCCGGTGGCACCGCTTGAGCTGCTGGGGTCCGGGGAGCTTGGGGATGCCACGACCCCCGTGGGGTGGGGCTGTCCCCATAGGGGCTGGAGGGTGTTTGGGGGCAGTTGTGTGACACCAGGTGGTGTCCCCCCGGTTCCTGGCACACCCCGCGTGGCCTCGTGCCCATCTGGGTGTGGGTGCCGTGCGCAGGGTGAGGGTGCAGGGTACCCAGCTGGCAGCCCCTGCCCTGCCCGGGGCACGGCTCTGACAGCCCCGAGACCACCGTTGTGCTCTGCAGCCCCCCAGACCCTCAGCACCCACAAAGGTGCCGCTGCCAGGGGTCAAGGATTGGGTGGGCACGGAGAGAAGGGGGCTGGTGGTGCCCCCAGGGTGGCTGCAGCCTGCCCGCGTGCCCGGCCCAAACGGGTGCCCTCGCCCCACGCCGTGCCGAGCAGCCCCGGTGCTCTGCCAGGCACCCATGGATGCTCTCGAGATGCTCTCCCTCCGCAGGGTCTCCAGGCCACGTCCCTGCAGCCCCGGGAGCTGCAGCAGCACCTGAATCCCGCTCCTGGCTCAACCACGCCGGGGGAAGGCTGGCGTTTGTGGTAAGAGACTGCCACTGCTCTTCCCTTCCCTGGGGTGGGTGCTGAGCACCGCCGTGCACCCTGTGCCCGACCTGTTGGTGCAGGCAGCAAGGAAAGGAACAGTCGGCATCCGACTGTCCCCAGCCCTGGGGGGGCCGGCGTGAGCGCCCCGCTCACTGCCCCATCCCCTCTCTTGCAGGATTAGCATGGGAGAAGCCTTCCCCGGGCATGGGCAGCGCTAAGGAGCCCGAGGGCTTGCAGCTGCTGAGCCGCGAGGCTGAGGACGCCTGCGAGCCCGGTGCCGGCTCCTCAGGCTGCCCAGCGGTGGGCGAGCGCCTGCCCAGCTCCGGCTGCGCCGCGGGCGGCCGTGCCATGAGGAACTGCTGCGGGGCTGAGCCTGAGGCCCCAGGCTCGGCGGAGAAGGCGCCAGTGCCGACAGGACCGGCTCCCGGTGCGCTTGGGAGCGCAGCGGCGGGGAGCTGTGCGGCACCCGTCGGCACTGCACCCGTCGGCACTGCCCCTGCCTGTGGTCCCGCGGGCCCCGGCACCCCGAAGGAGAAAGCTGCCCCCGTGCCCCCCCTGCCCGAGCCCTGCCTCAAGGCACCCAGCAAGGACGCGGGGAGCGCGCCGGCTCCGGCCAAGCACGTGGCGTTCCTGGAGCCGGCCACGGGAGCACCGGGGACCGGCAGCACCCTGATGCCAAGCCAGGAGCAGCCCCAGGGTGGCACAGACGCGTCCCCGGGAGCTGCCCCCCAGGTGGGGGGCGCTGAGGCTGCCAAGCCCCCCCAGGGAGGCATGGCCGCCCCCCCCGGAGGGGGTCAGGGCAGAGGCGAGGGGAACGCAGACGCCGAGAGCAGCCAGCAGCCCCGGACAGCCAAGCTGCTGTGTGAATCCTACTCGTTCGAGGTGACCCCGCCTCAGGATGCCGGAACGCAGGACATGGGGACACAAGTGGACAGCCGAGCGTCCCTGGTGTCGGTGGCCCTGAGCCCCATGAGCCCCCCGGACGGGGCCGCCGCCTTCACCTTCCCCAAGAGAGAGCCAGGCTCCGCCGCCGCCCCGCACCCAGGGGCAGCCCCCTCCAAGAAGGACGCGGAGATGCAGGTGTCCATGCCCGTGGAGACCCGCTCGGTGGCCACCGGGCCCATGACGCCGGTGGCCAAGTCCCCGCAGGCCTCGTACCCCGAGGTGCACGTGAAGGGGGGGGCGGTGGAGGAGGCTCCGGAGCCCATCCGGGAGGTGAGCTGGGACGAGAAGGGGATGACGTGGGAGGTGTACGGGGCCTCCATGGAGGTGGAGGTGCTGGGCATGGCCATCCAGAAGCACCTGGAGAAGCAGATCGAGGAGCACGGGCGGCAGGTGGTGATGACCCCGCAGAGCACCCGCGCCGGCTCCGTCAAAGGAGCCCCCCGCAAAGGCGAGGCGAAGAGGCAGCCCAGCGTCTTTCGGGCTCTGCTGCAAAACGTCCGGCGGCCCCGCTGCTGCTCCCGCGCCGGCCCCGCCATGGAGTGAGCCCCTGCCCGCTCCGGCAGGACTGGGGGGGGGGGTCTCGGGGAGGGGACCCTGCCCCGCTGCCCCGAGACGCCTGCTGCCGGCGTGCAGGGCTCCCGGGGCGGGTGGTGATGGAGCGCTGCAGGCGGGGACGAGGCATCTCCTTCACCGGGGGTCCCCCGCCAGCAGTGCCGTGGGACACGGTGCTGGTGGCACCTCTGGGATGTGGCAGGGGCTCGCAGCGGGACACGGGCAGGTCGCTGCCGGCTCCCCCCAGCTCCAGCCCCGCACCGCAGGCAGCAGCATCGCTGCTCGTGCTGGAGCCACTGCTGCATCGCGGTGCCACCCGCCCCTGGCCGTGCCCACCCCACAAAATGGATTTACAGGAGGGAGCGTGGGGGCAGCCACATCGGAGACATGGAGCCCGTGTGCTCAGGGCCACCGGCTGCTTGTCCCCTTTGCTGTGGCCAGAGGCACTCAGGGGGGCTGTCCCCATGCCCCCAGCCCTCCTTGGCTGCGTCGGAGCACGGGGCATGTCCGTGTCCCCATCACAGCTGGCGCTGGGGACAGAGCCCACCCTGGTGCCGTGTCCGTCCTGCCTGCCCAGCCCCGCTGCCGCCAGCAGGACCCCGCTGGGTGCCCAAGATGCCTGGGGTGCCTGTCCCTGTGCGGGGGTCCCCGTGTCCCCTCGCTGCTCTCCTGGCCAGCAGCTGGGGCCGTGCTGGCCACAAAGCGCTGCCACTTTTTACCGCTGGGTTTTTGCAGGGGGGTGGGGTGGGGAGGGGGGCTTTTACTGAACGATGTTTGCATTTTTGGAGCTTTTTAAGAGACACTTTCAGCTGCGAGCCACCTCCTCCCCCGCGGCCTGCGGGGCCGTGGTTCTTTTGAAACACTTTTCCTACGTCCCTGCCGTGCTGGGAAGCTTTGGGGGCGCAGGGTCAGCGCATGGAGGGGGCGAGCATCCCCCTGCCAGCAGCACTGCGGCGTCCCTGCTGCGCCGTGGGACCCGGCGCCTCGTCCTCCCTCCAGCCCGACCCCAGCAAAGGACTGGTCCCACAGGGCCCCAGGAACTGGGCGAGCACCTGAGCTGCAGGAGGCTGCACCTGGGGGGTGCGTGGGAGCCCCCTGCCCGTGCAGTGTCCCCCCCTGTCCCCTGCCCCCCAGCCCTGCGCTGCGGCACAGGGGTACTGCGGCTCGGTCCCTGATCTTCTTCTTTTTCCTCTTCATTTCTTTTTTTTTTTTGTTGGGGGGGGTGTGGGGAGGAAGGGGGAGGGAGGATTACACTTGTCAACTTGGGTGTTGGGTAATAAAACCTTGCAGAAAGCTGTGAGCGGGGCTGCAGGCACCTCTCCCCGGGGGGGTGTGGGGTGACGGGCAGCGGGGTGGCCCCGGGAAGGGTCCCGGTGGCACGAAGCTGTGCTGAGCCCTGCGGTGGCACTGGGCTGCCCTCCTGCCAGGAGAGGGGACCCGGTGCTGGCTGGCAGCAGTGGGCAGCGTGGACACAGGGGCTGGTGGCCACGGGACGCTGTCAGCCACAGGTGGCAGGTTTATTGCTGGCATCTGGGCAGGATGGCGCTGGAGCAGCTGCCAGAGTCCTGCTCTGGCCCCTCTGTCCCCCAGGTGCCCGCTCACAAGTCTGTGGTGCTGAAGGTGTTGTTGATGTATGCCATTTTGGTGGGCTCCTTTGCGTCCAGGGCGGCCACCAGCACCTTGTCCTCGGTGGGGTCCATGGGGTGTGATTTATGCGGCTGCGGGAGGGGAGAGCGGTCAGGGGCTGGGGACAGGGACGGGGACGACACCAACACTGACACCCCCAGCCCTCCCCAGAGCTGCCAAGGCAATGGAGAGAAGGGGACACAAGGGCTCCAGCACACAGCAGAGGGGATGGGGATGGGCGGAGGGGACACGGGACTCCCCGCCGGGTACCTTGGCCTTGGGGTTGTTGTCCTTGGGCGAATCCACTTTGTTCTCATCCAGGGAATTGATGCTGCGGAGAGGGGAGGGCATGGGTTAAGGGACAGCCAAAGCACCGATGGTGTGGGGACACGGGGTGACAGCCCCACAGAGCTCACCTGGCCAGGGAGCTGGTGTCCTCGTGGAAGCCCAGGTCGTGGGACAGGTCCATGGGCAGGTTCAGCATGGGGTTGGCCCTGGCAGAGGACGGGAGGAAGGTGAGTGACCGGCCCCGGCACCGCAGGACCTGCCACGTTCCCCGGGTGGCAGGGATGTTTTGGGGCTCTCCCCCCCAGCAGGGTGCCCATGCTCACCCCTCAGCGTTGTACTGGTTGGTCCCGGGGATGCCAGCTCCCTGCTGGGCCACGGTGGGGCTGAGCGTCGTGGCCGCCTTCAGCGCCTTCATGGCATTCAGCTTCCTCTTGTAGCTGCGGGGACGGGGCGGGTGAGGGGGGCGAGGGCTGGAGTGGGGACGGGGACAGGGACGGGGGCACGGGGTGGGACGCGTGGTACCTCCTGGTGGTGAGAACCAAGACCAGGGTCATGATGAGGATGAAGAGGACCAGGAACGCCGCCAGCCCCGCGATGATGCCGATCAACTGCGTCTCCTTGTTGGTCTCCGTCACCTCCCCGGAGCCCTGGAGCGGAGCAGGGCTGAGGGCAGCACGCAGCCCCGGGGACCCCTGTGCCGGTGCCCTCTCCCCACGCCCCTTGCCCAGCCCCACTCACGATGATGGCTAGCCCCATATCCACCAGTTTGAGCAGGACCTGCGAGTCGCTCTGGATCAGCCTGCCAAGGGGAACAGGGCAGGGGGTGAGCACCGTGCAGGCAGCAGTGCCCGCGCACAGCCCCCTGCCCGGCACTCACTGACTCAGCTGGTTGATGTCCAGGGCGGTGCCGTTGCTGTAGACGAAGTACGCATCCATCACCGACTTGACCTGCGCCCTGCAGGGACAGAAGCACGGGGTGAGGGTGGCACGGGGCACGGTGTCCTCCCCTGGGGCAGCCCCACCGCCCCTCCGCGCCCCACTCACCGGGCGGCACGGCTGTTGTCGGGGTTGCTGATGGCCACCACGTAGACCGTGGCCTTGGTGGCGATGGTCAGGGTCCTGGAAGGGGGGAGAAAGAGCTGGGTACCTGCATGGGAAGCGACCACGGCCTCTGCAGCCCAGCAGCTGGCCCGGCCCCAGCAGCCCTTACGCTTTGATGTCTTCCAAATTTCTCTGCACTTCCTCCACCGGTACGGAAAACTGGAGGCGAATGCGGTAGCTCTGGTCCACGGTGAAGATCTGCGTGGGGACAGCGAGGTGAGCGGGGCTGGGCAGGGCGCGGGGGAACCCCCGGGTAGGGGACAGGGGTGACACTCACAGTCAGCACGGTCTGTGCCGTGTTCTGCGGGGCTGTGCGGTCCTGAGCGTTCACCGTCACCTCGTACTTCCCCTTCAGCGAGCTGTCGAGGTTGCTGGCCACCCTAGGGGGACGGGGACAGCGGTGATCCCACAGGGCTGCAGCAGGGGGGTGCTGAGTCCCTTCGTCCCATGCCGGTGCTGTGCAGGGACGGACTCAGCTGCTGCCACGTGGCCCCAGCCCAGCCCCACGGCCTTACTGGATGCTCCCCACGTAGATTTTCTGCTCGACCGTGGTCACCACCTTGAAGAGGTTCTCCAAGGTCCGGTTGTTCCCATTCTCCTCCATGAACACCACTTTGAAGATGGAGAAAGCGATTTCTCCTCCACTCCCCGAGTCTTCATCCGTGGCCTGCGGGGACAAAGCGGGGCAGGAGCACCCATGGGCACGGCTCGCCACGTGCCCGCTGTGGGGACGGGCAAGCCCAGCTCCCCTGGAGCGCACACACAGCTCCTCACCCTCACGGTAGCCACTTGCAGGCCCACAGTAGAGACGTCAGGGACAACCACTGTGGAAGACAGACAGAGTGATGGACAGAGTGACCCCGGCCCGGACCCCGCACTGCTCGCAGCCCTGCCCCAGTTGGGAGCTGGGCAGCACGGGACGGGAGCTGCATCCCAGCCCTGCTGCTCACCAAAGGTCTCAGAGATGGGCAGGAAGACCGGCGCGTTGTCGTTTATGTCCTCGATGTTGATGGTCAGGGTTCCTGCCAAAATCCCAAATGCATTGCTCACCCCACGGGGACGTTCCCCACTCCGTCTCCAACCGGGCCAGCTCCTCGAGGGGGGCAGGAGCTGCAGGACCCCCCTCCCTCCCTGCCCCGGTGCCAGCGGGTGCTCTCCGTACCGTTCTTGCTGTAGCGGTCGCCCTTCTCAGTGTAGAGGTCTTCAGCCCGCAGCGTCAGCTTCACCGTGTCACACTGCTCGAAGTCGATCTCCGAGCTGTTGACCAGCAGCGAGCCGTTGGGCAGCAGCACAAACCAGTCCCAACACACGTTCCCGGCGCTTTGGGAACCGTTAAGGCAGGTGACCTGCAGCTCCTCGATGACCAGCGAGTGGTTGGTGTCGGGGTCGGAGGCGCTCACGGTGTAGACCAGCCCCTGCTGCGTGCCGTTCTCCCTCACGGTCACGGTCTGCGAGGTCGGCACGATGGAGGGGGGCTCGTCGTTGACGTCCAGGACGTGGACCACCACCGGGACGCTGGCATTCCTGGCGATGTCGGTGGCCGTGTTCTCCGCCACCACCGTCAGGTAGAAGCTCTTCTGCTGCAGGGTGTCGTAGTCCATGGTCGTGTCGGGGTCCACGGACAGCTGCCCGCTGTAGTTGCCCGTCCCCAGCTGGTGGGAGCGGATCAAGAAGTTGCTGGAGCCGCTGCCGCTCTGCAGCCGGAAGGAGATGCGGAAATTGATCTCCGTCTTGTCGGCGTCTGTGGCCACCACGGTACCCACGAAGGAATCTGCAGACAGACGGACATTCAGTGCCCAGCGAGCGCTGACCCTGTGCCACCCTTTGTCCCGCAGCCTGCCCGCGTGGCACCTACCTGAGGAGCTTTCGAAGATGGAGAACTCGTAGGACTGCTCGAGGAACACGGGCGTGTTGTCGTTGATGTCCTGCAGGAGATGAAGCCCCTGAGTGCCACCGCCCAAGGAGGTGGAGGGGTCTGGCACAAGGCGAGGGGCAGAAGCACGGACAGGACCCCCCTTTCTGCCTCCCTGCATCAACTGGGACACCTCGGGGCGCGGTGCCACGGCTGGGTGCCACCTCTGCACCCTCCCCACCCCGCTGTGCCCGGGGCTCACCGCCACGGTGATGGTGACGTTGACCTGGGTGCTGAGCGGTGGCACCCCGTGGTCGTACACCTCCACCGTCACCACCAGCTGCCCGTCCTTGTCATCCAGCGCCTCGCGGTCCAGTGGCCCCTTGCTGTGCATCTGCCCCGTGGTCTCGTTGATGGTGAAGTTGTCGCTGAACAGCCCCGGCAGGATCCTGAAGCCCAGCTCACTGTTGGGGGTGTTGGGTTCGTCGTTGTCGATGGCCTGAAAGGAGAGCACCGAGGGGGCTGCAATAGGGCTGCCCACCCCTCGGGACGGTCCCTGGCTCCTTTTTGGCAGCCCCAGGGGTTGTCCTCGTTACCCAGCACCTACCTTGACCTCCATGCTGACGTTCTGCCCTTCTTCCACAGAGATGAAGTAGGAGCCGGTGACGATGGGCGCGTTGTCGTTCTCGTCCAGCACGTAGATCTCCAGCAGCGCCGTGTTCATCATGTCGCCCCCGTCCTTGGCCTGGATGTTGGCGTAGTAGATGGAGCGAGTCTCCCGGTCCAGCGAGGCTCCCGGCGACACCAGCACCGCCCCGCTCGTGGCGTTCACCGTGAAGGTTGCGAGGCTGTGGCACACACGGACCCATCACCAGGGCTCCATCCCCGGGCGGGCAGCACCCCGTGGACCCCCCCTGTCCGCGTCCCCACGTACATGGTATCCGGGAGCAGCTGGTAGGTGATCTGGCCGTAGGCACCGCTGTCTGGATCATAAGCCTGAACGAGAGGAGAAAGCATCATGAGAATCTCCATCAGCCCCTGGGGTGGTGACGGACCTGGGGCACTGGCCATGGGCGGTGAGCACCCCAAAAATGTGTCCCTGAAGAGTGCAGGGTCCCCCAACCCTGCCGCCACTTTCTCCCCACACCGAGGTCCCTGCTGGTGACCTGCACCCGCGGTGCCCTGCCCGGGGGACGCGCCGTGCCCTGCCCTGCCCGGTGCCTGACCGTGATGTTTGGGGCGATGATGGTGCCCGCGGGGCTGTTCTCCATCACGCTCAGCACGTATACGCTCTGCGGGAACTCAGGGAAGTGGTCGTTGGTGTCGATGAGGTTGACGGTCACGGTGGCCACCGAGCAGCAGTTTGCGGGGTTCCCCGTGTCGTTGGCGATGAGCTGCGGGGTGGAGAAGTGGCAGCGCCGTGTGGGTCCCCGAGCACGTCACCCAGTCCCCCTGCCACACCGACCCAGCTCCCCCGAATCAAACGAGCTGCCAGGACGAAGCCAGCAGGGAAGGGCCGTGTCCCTGCTGTGCCCTCCCCGTGCAGGGAGCGAGGGCTGTCCCTCGGGTCCCACCTGCACCACCATGACATGGCTGATCTCGTAGTCCACCTCAGACGGGTTCTGCACCAGGATCTGGACCTCCCCCGTGCCCACGATCGTCGTGGGGGACACGCTGAAGGCGCTGGCGCTGCCACCCTGCAGGTACAGCTCGAAAGTGCTGTTGATGCCCTGCGGGGAGAGAGGCCAAGGGTGAGGGTGGAGGAGCAGCAGGGGCAGGGACCCGCAGCCCGTCCTATGCCCAGGGGCAGGCTGCCACCTTGTCGGGGTCGCGGGCCACGATGCTGAGGTTGGACACGGGCACTTTGGAGGAGGAGTGCTCGATGATGCTGCCCGTGAAGTTGTTCTGGCTCTTGGTGAAGTTGCAGCTGGGGAGGGAGCACTGGTAGAACTCGGGCTTGTTGTCATTGACATCGACCACCAAGATTGTCACCATCGTGGTGGCATTGGCCACTGAGCCGTGGATGTCCAGGTTCTTCTCCCGCGCCTGGCCAGGAGGAGGAAGAGTAGGAGGAGGAGGAGGAGGAGGAGGCAGCGGGGTCAGGCGGTGCCGAGGCGAGGAAGAGGAGGGGGCTCTCCCCGCTGCCCCCCACTCACCAGGACCTCCAGCAGCATCTCCTCGCTGGGCAGCTGCTCGCGGTCCAGCCAGCCGCTGACGGTGATGATGCCCGTGGTCATGTTGATGGCGAAGGGGACGCTGGCATCTGGAGCACGGGGACAGCAGGGACTGCTGCAGCCAGCGGGGAGGCACACCCGGCCTCGGCCTGCACCGGGGTGCTCCCCAGGGTGCTGGGTGGTCCCCAGGGTGCTGCCCAGTCCCCCTTGCTCCCCCCAACCCCCTGCCCCAGCCTCGCTCACTGGTGATGCTGTAGAAGATCTCATCATTCACACCCGTGTCCCTGTCGGTGGCGGTGACGGTCAGCACGGAGACGCCCTGCGGGGACAGGGAGGTGAGGGCAGGACGCGGGGACAGCCCCAGCCCCACACCACCAGGCTGGGAGGGCTCCTCACCAGCGGGCTGTTCTCGGACACGGAGCCGGAGTAGGGCTCGTTGAGGAAGCGCGGGTTCAGGTTGGGCAGGTCGATGACGGTGATGGAGAAGTAGGTGGTGCTGTTCTGGAACACTGTCACCCCGTACAGCGGCCCCCCACCGTCCTGGGGGCAAAGAGCCTTTTAGTCCCCCCCTGCAGCCCTCCCCACCGCCCCCCGTGCCCCGGCCACGCTGCCCCCGACCTGGGCGAGGATCTTCAGCTGGTAGAAGGTGTTGGTGGCGTAGTCCAGCGAGCCGTTGAGCACCACGCTGCCGTTGGGCAGGATGTAGAAGAGCCAGAAATTCTTCGCGTTGTCCGGGATCACCTGGGTGGGGGACACTGCCCCGCGTCAGGGAGTGGAGGGGACCCCACAGAGAGGAGGGGGGCTCAGCGCCCACCCTTCTGCCAGGCTCTGCCCATAGGGACCCCTCCTCGGCATCCCACGGGGTCCTCACAGGGGGGCAGAGCAATTGCTGGGGGGGATCCCAGGACCCCAAACCCCCCTCCCGGCCCCCCAGACCCCATTGAGCAGAGCCCCCCAGGAGGGCGGTGTCGGGGCGCCGGTGCCCAGGTGCGGTGCTCACCTCCAGGATGCTGTAGCTGACCTTGGCAGCGTTCCCCGTGTCGGCGTCGGTGGCAGAGATGGTGTAGATGATGCTGCCCGCCATCATGTTCTGGGCACCCAAATGAGTTTGGGGGAGGTCACACGAGGCGGCAGGGCTGGGTGCTGAGTCCTGGCCCCCGCGAGCCCCGTTTTGGGGCCCCCCGACCCCACGGCCCCGCAGGGGTTGAGCCCTGCTGCCTCCCACCTACGCCCCTGCCCCGGGGGATCCCCAGGAGCCGCACCCCGATGCTGGGGGTGCTGGAGGGGGTCGTGCTCAGCCCCACACACCCCGAGCTGGCGTCACGCTGCCCAGGGCTGAGCAGCACCTGGGCACTCCCTGACGGCAAGGGCAGAGTCCCAGCCTGCGCTGGCGCCTGGGGCTGGCACAGAGCCGTCTGCCGGGAGCAGTGTGCCGGCAATGCCGTCACCGTCACCGCAGGGCCGGGCACGCCCACGCTGGGGAGCCACCCATCATCATCACCCCTGTTCCACTGCCCGCGGGGCCGCCAGGTGCCCAGGAGGTACCTCGGGGACGGAGGTTTCATAGGGCAGGCCCTTGAAGACCGGGGCGTTGTCGTTGCGGTCCTCCACAATGACCGTCAGCTTCCTGGAGGTCTGGCAGGGGCAGGGGAAGGTGAGGGGCACGGTGTCCAGCTGGAGCTCTGGAGCCGGCCATCATCACCCCCGGGGGGTGACGTTGCCCCCTCCTGGCCCCCAGCCCGGCACTCACCGCGTCGTTGATGCCGTCGGACACGGTGACGGTGAGGGTGAGCCTGGCCTGGGACTGGGAACACAAGGCAGGGCTCGCTCAGCGCCGGCACAGCTCGATGCTGGGACACCGGGGGCTGTGCCACCCGTCCCCCCCACCCCGAGCGGGGCAGCGCCGGGCTGAGCGGAGCTCCGTGCCCTCACCTCCCGGTCCAAGAGGTTCCTCAGGGTCACGACCCCCGTGCTTTGGTTAACGTTGAAGTAGAAGGCATCCGCACCGCTGATGGAGTAGCTGAGCGTGTCCCCATCCAAGTCAGTGGCCTTCAGCACGAAAGCGACTTCGCCTGGGGACAAGGGTGGTGTCAGCCCTGGCCGTGCCCCCCCCCCCCCCCCCCCCGTGCCCCCCAGGCTCCCCAGGGCTGCCCGCTCACCTATCAGCAGGTCCTCGGGCACGTACTCGATGCTCGTGTCGAAGATGGGGGGCGCGTTGCCTGAAGCTACAAGGAGGACAGGAGCTGAGCGCACGGGAACCCAGCTTGCCCCCCTCCCTCCCTCCCTCCTCACCCCCTCGCCCCCCAGCAGCAGCCCCCTGCCCACCCCGGGTGCCACCCCACACCCAAAGGGGTGCCCATGGGGTGGGCAGCGATGCTGTGGGGGGGCTCAGCTGCCCCCAGGGCAACGGGCTCACGCAGCGGGGAGCGGGAAGCGGCTCCAGCGGCTCCCCGCAGCCCGTGCCCGCACCGAACAAAGTCCTCACCTGCTGCCAGGAGGAACGGGAGCAGCAGCAGCGAGGGCTGTGCCATCCTGCCTGGAGCCCGCAGTGCACGGCACAGAACCTGGGGCACGTCCCGGGCGCTCCCCCAGCCCCCAGCGCCCACCTGGGAGAGACCGAGATGGGGTCTGTGCTCTCCCGGGAGCCTGGGGATGGGCTCCGTGGGGACAGGGCGCAGGGGGACGGGGCTGGCCTCCGGGTGCTGGAGACCACAGGGGTGTCCAGGGACCCCCAGAGCCGCTGGCGGACCCCCCCCCACGTCGCCCCTTACCCAAGGCATCCCTTACCTGCGGTGCCTCGCTGGGGATGCTGCACGCAGGCTGCGCTCTGCCTGCACCCTGACACCACCAGAGACCTTTGCCTCCTGCTGTACCCAAGTTCATCAATGATTAACTGCAATTAAGGGGTGAGAAATCCCTTTCTCTCCTTCCTTCTCCCTGGTGCTCGTCACCGCTGCCCGGCTCCCACCCAGCCCCTCTCTCGCTCCCCGCCGCAGCCCCTGGGGACCCCACAATGCGACCACCCCGACCCAAACCCCAAGGATTCCGGCTCCCCAGAGCGGGGCAGAGCCTGTGGGGGTGCAGAAGGACCCCAAACTGCTCCCGGGGTCTGGGGAGGGGCCGGGGCAATGCCCGGCATCCCCCGGGCTGGGGGCACCGGGGTCTCACCAGGACAGAGGTGGGCACCGAGCTGGTGAAGCAGCCACTGGGGTGGGTGCCAGGGGCCCTGAGCACCCCCCTGTGAGTTCCCCTCCCCGGGGTGGTCCAAGGGGGTCGGCCCAGCCTCCCTGACCTACTTCGGACCCGCTGGGGACAAGGGCAGATTGTGCAGCTCTGCTCAGGCAGAAGAGGGCTGGGAGGAGGGGGGGGCACGGGCACAGCCAGCCCTGGGGCCCCCGGGACCCCCGCCTGCGTGGCCTTGTCCCCCTTCAGCCCCATCCTCCAGTGGGGACCCGAGGGGTTGGGGTGGCCGGGCAGCTCGGGGGTCCCACAGGACGCCCCGTTTGCTGCGAGGGACCCCTGGTTTGGGCACAGGAAGAAAGAGCCTGGGGCTCCCCCAGCAAAACCCCACAGGGCTGGTTTGGGATAACCCCGTGCCCCCCCAAGCCCTCCAGGGCTGTTTCAGAGCATCCCACTGCAAAACACCCAGGATGCCCCAAAACCTGCTGGGGGCTGGTGCAGGACATCCCCCAGCATCCTGCATCCCCCACCCAGGTCCCTATCCCTGACCCCATCCTATTCCCATCCCCAACCCTGACCCTGTTTTCATCTCCATCCCTGATCCCAACCTATTCTCGTTTTCATCCCTGACCCCATCCTATTCCCATCCCCAACCCTGACCCATTCCCATCCCCATCCCCATCCCAGTCCCCATCCCAGTCCCCATCCTATTCCAACCCTCAACACTGACCCCATCCTATTCCCATCCCCATGCTGACCCCATCCTATTCCTATTCCCAACCCTCACCCAATCCTATCCCCATCCCTGCCCTGACCCTATTCCCATCCTCACCCTTGACCACATGCCCGACCTGCTCCCATCCCTATCCCCATCCCGTTCCCTGACCCTATTCCTATCCCTATCCCTGACCACATGCCCGATGTGTTCCCATTCCTGCTCCCATCTCCAAATCCAAATCCATCCCCACCCCACCCCACCCCATTATCGTACCTTCTGCGCCGCGGCTCGGATCATTACGGTACCGATTCCAGCTGCGCCCCTACTGCAGCCATTACGGCAGGAGGTTGGACGTTTCCATCGCAGCTCCGCGGGGGGGGTGGGTGGAAGGGGAGGGGGGGCGCGGCTTGGCCGGTACCATCGGCGGGGCAGGCGCGGGGGGCGCCATGAGGCGGGGCTGAGGCCGAGGCCGGAGCGGGAGCGGCCCCGGGAGCGGCACCGGCAGCGGCAGCGGGAGCGGCCCCGAGCCCGGCGGGCCCGGCCCCGCACCATGCGAGCGGGCTGAGGCCGCGGCACGGCCCCGGCGGGCGCGGAGCGGCGGGGGCGGCGCCGCCGGTAGGTACCGGGCTGGGCCCGGGGGCGGCGGGGCCGGGGCCGGGACCGGGAGGGGGTGGGGAGAGGAGGAGGGGGGGGCACCGGGGCTGGGCCCGGCTTCACCCCCGGGGCACGCAGGGCCGGGCCCGGCCCCCCCCCGGTACCGGGCAGCGGGGGAAGGCCGGGGGGGGGCGGGGAGGGGGGCGCGCCCCCGGCAGCCCCCCCGGTCCCGTCCCGGTGCCGCCGGTGGGTGCCCCCTGCCCGGCCCCGCTCGGCTCTGCCCGGTGTCCCGGGGGGTTGGAAGGAAGGGCAGGGGGTGCTGCTGCCGGCCTAGGGTTGGGGCTGCGGTTTTGGGGGCCCTGCAGGGCTGTCCCCGCACCGGGGGGAGCATCACCGGGAGCTGTCGGTGCCGTGCTCCGCCGCTCACACCCGGCCGGTGAGCACGGAACAAAGCGGGGAGCACAGCGGGGAGCGCAGACGGGGCCCCACCGGGGGAAGCCGCTCGCTGTTGGTGCCCTCCTGCCCGGGAGCGGGGCTCCGCGCGGGGAATTGATCAGGCCGTAAAACCCAGCTAACGGAACGGGGCCGGTGGGTTTGGGGCTGAGCTGGAGGAGGTGAGGAGAGGTTTTGTTATCCTGGAGCTGCTCCAGGAGCCAAGCAGCAGCCGGGCAGGTAGGGCCCTGGCTGTGCCTCGCACCATCCCCTCCCGGTGTGTGTTTGGCACCTGGATGTGGCGGGGTCCCGCGTGTCCTGCCGGGTGGCCCCGCTTCCCGGGGTGCCAGCACCCGTGGGGAGCGTGCTGAGATCACACAGGGGCTGCTGCTGGAGCGGTGGTGTCCTGGGGGGGCTCCCAGCCCTGTCCCGGGGTTGTGTGGGCTCATCCTGCTGCAGGTGAGGTCCGGGGGGCTCAGTTCTGGCTGCTCCCTCGGTCGGTTGGGGTTTGCTCACCCCAGGAGGTGCTCTGGCAGCAGGCACAGCGCCGAGGTGCCCGTTTGGTGTGTGAGGCTGTCACCGGCTGCTGAAACACCCGAGGAGGCCTTTGGGGAGCTGTGCGGGGCTGGGCAGCTCTGCTGAAGGTCGCTTCTGGAGGGGAGCAGCATGGGGCCGTGCCCTCGGCCCAGGACTTGTCATTTCCTCTGTCCTCGTGCCTGAGGGCAGCCCCGGGGGCCGCAGGTTTCCTGGGACGGGCTGTTTTGGGGTTTTGGGAGGCCTCCCTGCTTGGTGCTGTGTGGCAAGGGGGAGGAGGGCGCTGTGCAGGCAGCGCTCGTGGCAGGCGTCCCGTCCCGCCTGCGGGGTCTGGTTCTCCAGCTGTGGCCCTGTCCCCGGAGACCTGGCCTCAGCCGAGCTGAAGCTCCGGGCATCCCCCAGCTCCCTCAGAAAGCAGGGCACGGGTTCTCAGCTCCCAGGGCCTCGGTTGCTTTTTCTCTCCGTGCCTGGGCTGTGGGCAGGCAGTGAACAACACAGACCTGCCGGCCAGAGCAGAGGGCAGGCAGCTCCTGCGCCCCGGGCGGCTCTGCTGGCACCGCACGGTTGCGCTTTGTGCACGGGGGCTGTCAGTTGGAAACCGTGGCGGTGGTTGTGGGGGCTTGTTGTTGGTTTTTCCTCTTCAAACCATCCCCGTGAGTGGCGTGGGGCTGTCCAGGAGCGATGTGCCATGGAGGTACAGCAGCAGCAAGCTTCCTTCATGCTTAAGGCACTGGTCAGCGCCTGCCTCGGAGCACCTTGAAAGCAGCCCCTGGGCAGATCTGGAATCAAGGACAAAAGAGGGCAAACAGTTGCTGAAAGCTGCCTGTTTCTCCGAGCTCCTTTCTGAAAACAAAACTGTGCGGGGTGCGGGGGCCCTGCAGGCTCCTTGAAATGCAAAACAAAGCACCCGGCCCAACTTCCTGGCTGCCACCAGCGCTGCCCAGAGGCAGCTGGGCGATAAGGGAGCCCTGCTCCCCGCGGCTCAGCGGGAGGTGGGGTCTCTTTTAGGAAAGGTGTTTGGGTGGAAGCACGGCGCAGAGGAGTCCTGAGGCGCCGTGCCAGCGGGAGGAAGCCGTGGGAGGGCTGGGGGGGACGTGGCCGTTGGGCTCCTCTTCCCCCCCCGCTGTGTGTGATTCCAGGGAGGATGGAGGTGAGCGGGGTGCACGGTGTTGTGTCCGTGGGAAAGGGTCCTCCGAGGGCTCGAGGACACAGCTGTGGTGCTGGACGCCTCCTGCTGCTCAGTGCTGCTGAGCTCCGGAGGGACCCGAGGTGCTGCGCCGCTTCGGGGGGTGCCGTGAGGGCCGGGCAGGCGTCCACAGGGAAACGAAGAAAGGGGGAGGTGGCTCTGCGGGTCCATTACCCCGTCCCGAGGAGATGAAGGCTTGTGCAGGCCGGCTGTTAATTCGGGAGCCCTCTCCTGCTGGATGCTCTCCGTTCAGATCCTCGGTGCTGTGGCCGTCCCCGAGGTCCGGGCTCGCTTCTGCCTGGTGGGGAGGAGGCCGCTGCTCGCTCTCCCTCCGCACTGCAGCTCAGCCTCGCGATCAGACATCAGAGAATCCACGTGGGAGAGAGCTCAACGGGAAGCCGGGCGCTACGGGTTCCGCTGCCTGCACGGCTCCCCTCGCTGCTCGCTCCTCGTGTCGGCCTCCCCACGTGTGTGCGTGGCCGGGGGCGTTTGACGGGAGCGCTGTCAGCCCGGGGGCGGGAGTGGGAGGCGTGCGAGCGCAGCGGAGGCGTCCTTGCCTCCACTGCCAGCTCCGCCGGGCGTGCGAGCGGGGAGGGGGCTGCTCTCCCCTCAGCTCCACAGCGGAGAAGCATCTTGCCCTGCTGCACCCGCTGATTTTGGGGTGTCCCACAGCCCCCGGGGTCTGTTGGGGGGTGTTTGTAGGGTGGGGATGCTCCTGCAGGGCCCCCGCTGCAAACTGGGGGCTCCTCAGTGCTCGGTGTTGCTTTCTTCCCACTCGTTTTGCACCCACTGGGGAGGGGAGAGGAGGATCTGGGGCGTTTTCCTCTCCCTGGAGCTGGGGAGAACGTGGATGCGAGCTGTCGGCGTGCTGGGTGTCGGGGAGAGGATGGGGGAGAGCGTCTCTCCGGTGGGAGTCATGCTCCCGGCGCTGGAGCCCCCCCGGCTAATCCTGTGGCAGAGCTGACCTATATCTGGGGCCGGGGGGTGGCTCGTCTGCAGCAGCAGATGGTGCCATAAGAAGCCTGGGCTCGGGCTGGCCTCCATTCTGCCGACCTCTGGCTCCCGTGAGGCGCAGGACGGGCCTCCCGCTGGCTGCGAGGCAGCTGAGATCATCCTGAGCAGCCCCCTGGGGCAGGAGCCAGGCTCTGGGGAGCTTCCACTGGTCTTGGTGGCTGGGGTGAGGGTCAAGATCAGCAGAGGAGGGCGGGTGGATGGACTCAGGACCCCTTGTCCTGGCCCAGAAGCACCAAGCAG